ACATAAAATGTGGCAACCCAGACTATGCACAGATACTTTGCAAGGACTAATGAATAGAGATCTATTTAGAGGCTTCTGTTGGTGATGTTTTCTTTTCTTCAGAGAGAACTAAAAAGAATGCAAACACTTGTTAATAACTGAATAAAATCCCCTTTTGCCCAAATTAAACCATACCTGTAAAGTGTATTTTAAATGAAGCCAAAAAGCGTTCCACTCTGAGTGACCTGTCTCATTTACCAGTTTGCAGGGAAACACATTTTCAGTACTTAAGATCTTATGTTGAGGAAACGCCTGTAAAGGAAATTCAAAGTGGCTGTAGATAAGACTGCAGATTATAAAGTAACAAACCTAATACTCATTATGGATTTTAAAAAATTTTCTATTGCAATATATTTAGCATAAAATGCTGTGTAAAATTAAAGTGTACAACATGCTGAGTTTGTACATTTATAGACTGGTATGATTGCTCTCATAGTGAAAGCACTTCTGTTCTGACACATAATGATCATTTCTTTTTGTGGTGGGAATAATGAAGATCTAGAAAAGGGTTATTTTTATAGTCACATCAGACACATGTCTTCAGCTATTTCTTCCTCAATCAAGCTGCACCTTTATTGAGATCTATAGTGAACAATTGACGAGGGTGTGCGCTGCTGGAGCTATGCAAGAAGTGAAGAGCTGTGTAATGGTATGTATTTGAGCTCTCAAGAAACTTGCAGAGTTTTTGTAGAAAAGTCATGTATCAAAGTATAGGTGACCAAGTAAGTAAGTATATGCCAAGTAAGTATATGTCAAAGTAAGTATACCAAGTAAGTATATGTCAAAATATAGCTGATTTTCAATTTATAATAGTTTGTCGGGCATACATCAATTTTACATCTTTTGTAAGAACCTTGCCCCCACTCCCCAAATTGTGTCTAATCCATGAAAGGGACTGCGGTCTCTGCCAAGACTGGCCCAGACAACAGGTGGTCCAGGATGATCGATCAGTAAAGATATCTCCCAACTTTCCTTCATGTAACTGAAGATGAACAACCTTGAGAGAGCTGACTCTGATTTAGAATCCTAGAGGGAGGCTCTTTGATCAATGAAAAAATGCTTTACTTGCTATAGGAACTGTCGCAGCGACAGCTCTTCCATGAACTTTCTAAAGCACCAGGCAGCATTCTCTATACTATCCTATCGTATAAGTTTGCAAAGTTTATCCTGACCAGTGCTCTCCCACCAAACTTTCCAAGCTCTGGTACCTGAACTTTCCTCTGCCCATGCTTTAGTAGGGAGACAGTTCTCAATGAATTTGTTTTATTTCATTAGTCTTGTGTATCTTTTTAGTGGCAACTAAGCGCTGCCGCCCCCACCCCAACATTTGGATTATGAGTCATGTCATTTACTTTCTTCTCTATCTTGTCAGCATAGTGTTGGCTTGTTCATTTATTTTTCAGGGTCTGAGTTCTCATGTTTGTAATGTAAGTGCATAGGTATTTCTCTCTGAAATCTCAGAAGTTATTCACTTCAATGTGGAGTTTGAATTCTTATCCCCAAAATGTTGAACAGCATTATTGTGATAGCCCTTGGATTTCAGTTCTTTCTGAACTGAAGTGATATCAAGATAAGAGATATGGTTTAAAGTGGTTTTATAGATGGACTGACAATAATAGGGCAGGCAGGCAGATAAATGGCCTATAACATGTGCCTATAAAATGGGAATGTCACTAGAAGAAAAAGAAAATCAAATGAATTAAAAATCTATATTTGAAGAATATTCTAAGTTCTGTCAAATTTAAACATATTATACTATTTTAATTGTGTATATAAATATCTGATGTGAAACTATAAGTGTCTATTTAATTAAGTGCAATAATCACATACATATTAATTGAGTGACTGGTTTTTCTTCACAGATCTGTTAAGACCAGTGGTTCTCAACTCTGGCTGCATATTAGAATTAATGGGGTCAGAGGGCTATTTAAAAAATCTTGATGTCCAGGTTGTATCCTTCACCATAATGTTTTTCTAAATGTCCCCATGTGATGATTCCAATACATCTAGTACAGTTGCTTTAATTGCTTTAGCAGGTTACTGAATTTTCATATATTTATTAAACTGAAAGATTAACTTTTGACAACCATTCTTTCTACTAGAACAGAATGTGCTTCTCAGCAACTTGAAATTTAACTTTCATCATGGAATTTCTTCCCATGGAGCAAGTATATTCAATTTAGCAGAACTTGAGCACAGGAAGAACCACAAACGACTTTATCTTTTCCCTGGGCTCAGAGCAATCATTATGCATGAATGTGTTTATTTACCAGTAAAATAAATGAATGGCCCAGCAATTTAGTTTTAGATTCACATATAAGATTCTCAGCACCTTCAAAGAAAAAGCTTTTAAAGATTCCAAAACTTCAAACTTGCTTACATTTTTTTTTTATTGTTTCCGGCTTTCTACATGTATATGAGTTTTGGCAGCCAGAGTTTTCATTGACTAAAATCAAAGGGAAAGAGATTTTAAAAAAATTCCAAGCTATTTCAAGGAGGCGGATGAGCCAGTGGTTGGGCTCCTTTCCTAGAAAGAAAAATGTGGGAATAAAATATTCTTAGAATTCTGTTGCTATCCAAGAATTCTACATTTGTTGATAAAGCCAATAGTTTCATTGTTAGATAACGGAGAAGCTGAGCTCTCTCTACACCTTGGGAATACTCCTCCGAGTAAATGGTGCTCAGGTGGCAGTCTGAAAGAGCCGTCTTTTTTTATATATGTAAGTTCGTTTTTTTTAAAGATTTATTTATTTATACAACAACCTGGGTACAGGCCAGATGTGTGGGAGGGTGAGAGGATTCACCAGAGACAGAGCAGGGAACAGAACAGGCAGACTGACTGAAACACACTGCTGAGGGGAGCAGTGGGCGAGAGAGGAGAGGTCTGCTGTGCCATGTGGGTATCTCATTGACCAGCCGGCATCAAACCCACACTGTAGAGGCTGCTGACAGCTTCACAGCTCTGCGCTCAACTGCCTGTGCCACCAGGGAGGCCCTATGTAAGGTTGGTTTTTTTTGTTTTGTTTTTTTATAAAGGTAACATTGGCTTAGAACACTGTATGGGATTCAGACTTACTGAATGTACCTCTTCAGAAGTGAACTTCTGAAACAGAGCAGGTCAGAAACAGAGCAAGTTAAAACTTCCATGCTGATCAGAAAGAGTCATCTTTTAGTAGCTGAGACATGTGATGCTGAAGCCCCAGTGGACAGAGAGAAGCTGAAAAGGAAAAAAGGAGAGAATTTAAGAAAGTAGAGTTTAAAAAAAAAAGTAGAGTTTAAGAAAGATATGGAGAGGCCTCCCTGATGGCACAAGGAGTTGAGACACAGCACTGTGAAGCGATCTGCAGCCACTGCAGCATATGAGTTCAATGCCCGGCAAGGGAGGTGACTCACATGTTGCAGCAGACCTCTCCTGTGTTGCCCTCTGCTCCCCTCAGCAGTGTATTTCAGTGGATCTGCCTGTTCTATTCCCCATTCTGTCTCTGGTGAATCCTCTTCCCTCTCCACCCACCCCACCATCTCTGGCCTACACCCCAGCTCTTGTATGCATAAATAAATAAATCTTTTTTTTTTTTAAAGAAAGATATGGAATCACCCTCAGGGCTGACCCAAGTCATGTCAGATGTGTGGTTATGCAGGTAACAAAACTTTATTGGCCTGGAAGCATCAGACATAAAGCAGATAAATTTTATTTTCTTCATAGTGGAAAAAAAAAAAAGTACGGTGAATTTCTTCCTTAAGATTGGGACATGTAGTCTGCAGTCAGTGTGCTGAATAGATCACCTACCCAGAAACAATGACTGCAGTGCCACCTTAAGTTGTGCCTCTAAATAATCCTAAAGGGAGGCCTAAGAAGAAATCAAGGCAGAAAATGGAAATATTTTTTTCTTGCACTTTTGGTGTCATTTTCTTCTTAGTTGGTCCTTGTTTCCTTGTAGACCCAATAACCCTTTGTTTTTGGTACTCTTCTTGCATATCTGACTATCCAGGATGGAGTCCATTCTATTCAAGAATTGTCTTGGTATTAATACTTAGCATTAAGTCTTAGTATTAAGACTTGTAATATTATGTCTTAGTATTAAGTATTGACACTTAATGGGGAGCTAAGGGTATCACATCAGAACAGTTTAAACTTGTTCTTATTTCAGTGCTATGAAGCTCCACAGGACTCTTCACTGTCACCACCAAGCAGGTTTTGTGTATCAACTATAAATTGCAATGATATATGGAATTTGCTGGCAAAGTGAAGATGATAACTTTTACCTATATGAAAACTTAAACAGTAAAATAAAATGATTTAATTTTATATTACCCTTGGACTTTCTTTTCTAGGGTTGTTCAATGTATTCCGAAAAAGTATAGGAAAAGATTCTTAAAGGGCATCTTCCTATTTGAACGTCAATGACTCAAATTGTCTTAAGCATGTTTGTAATCAAGTCATTACACCAGGTAGATTCTTGCACACAATAATCCATTTCTGTACACAGGAATATCCAGACACCATATTCCACATTCAGAATTCAGGGAAGGGTGGAAATATTGAAAATATGTTCCTTGCTATTGCAGTGCAAAGTGCAAATAAGAAGGACTTTATTATGAAAATAAAATTCTTTCCTTTAATTCTGTACTGATAACATATAAATCTAATCAGTGAAACTAATTTCTTGGATTAACTGGGTGGGCAAAATAAATTATGCTTAAATCATATAAAAGAGAGGAAAATACAATAGACTTTGGGATAGAATTGTTGCTGATTTAGCAATACCATAGATATGCTCCTTTCCCCCTTTAGCTTCGTAAAGATACAGGAGATGGGAATTGCTATGTTTACAATTTCAGCTCTGTTGTATTAGAACAAAGATGGGCTAAAGGTCTTTTCTTGAAATAAAGTATTTATAGTTTGACACAAAGAATAATAGCTAAGATTCTACAACTCAGAAGAATCAAAAGATACTGCAGTAACACAAAATTGACTTTTAATGTTTGTTTACCAGTTCATTGTATCTTACAGAAAATGAAAATGAAAACATTTTTTTTTTTTTTCGGTAATACAGATTGTTTCTTCTCCTCAGATTTGTACTCAAGAGGTATTAAATGACTTTAAATACTGATTTTCTTTTAATCAGGTGGCTTAATGACTTTTGTATTTTTTATTTCTTCCATTGTACATCATTGCTGCTCTGGCAGTAGTGAGCTATGATACAGTTAACTTCTCAGCCAAACTTTGTCAATAATCCACTGATCATTCTTGATGCATTCTATTCTGCAAACTGATAGGTAATTCCTTTTGAATCCTCCTTCGTGGTCAACTATTCCATGAGACCACCATATTCTTTGGAGCACTGAAGTGGAGAAACCCAATATGGCTGCCAGCAACCAAACTGGTATTTCTTTGGAGTCTACTTCTAAATGCCAAAATAATAAGCAACTATATTATTGCATAAAATAAAACTTTAATAGGTACCGGCCCTGTTTCTATGAGAGAAAGTTTAAATTTACAAATACCATAGATGACTAAAACTTACTGTGATACAATATGGCAGCAGTCATTAAAAGATGGCTTCCAGTGTTAATGTGACTAACTAGTTTCCATTCCTCTACACTCTTTGTTATTTGAATCATTTCTTTTTGTTCAGGTTTTCAACTGTAGGTGTTTCAGTGAAATTTGCAGATGTACTTTGTTCCTTACGTGGGGCACAATTATTATGAGCAAATGATCCAATCAATATTTCCTAAGCAAGACTCCTATTTTATCCATCCAATACTCTTAGAACCCAAGTCTGAGGAGCAATTTCTGAATTAGCCATTGTTGTACTAACTTCCTGCTGTGTTAGGATAACCTTTATTTTTAAACATTCTCAGTGAGATATCTTGAGGAATAAAGTAGGACAATAGACATTTAGTGGGAAAATGGCAAATGGAATTTTTTTTTTAAATACCATTATTCAAATAGGAATCTACAGGGGTACAGGAATTCTAATGCTTTGGGAGAAATCAGAAGATAAAAATTCTGCCTAGCAGTATTCACTCTGTTAAACTTTGTTTTTTACAAGCATGGAAAAATGATGTGTAATCATTATAGATTTTAATCAGCTAACAGTCACTCGAGAGATTTTGATCAGCACCAATTCTTATACTGGTAAGTATTCAAAAGTTAAGAAATACTATTATGCTTAACATTATAAAGGTAGAGTTCTGTGGCAATATCTGAAAAATTATGTACATGCTTCAATAGAAATTTGTTCCCATTTGCATTTCCAGTAAAATTTATTTACATGATAGTAATCCTTCAAGTATGGACTTCTTCCAATAAGCTAACCCCCATATTTGAGGTGTTAGAGTTGCTATTTAGGAGATAGCCACCTTTTTAAATAATGTGTTCATCTTCTCTTAGACCAGTCAGGTATTTTTAATTTAGAAGTTTGAGTTGTCTCAGCATGTTTAAATTAAACCTCACAATCACTTTGGATTTATATTTTTGTCCAATTTGCATGTCCAACTTAATGTCAAAATGTGCATGCATCTTTTAATATTAAAGCATCTGAAAATTTCCAGATAGGCTTTTGATAAAAGAAATATCTATTTTTATTTACAACAATTTGTCTAGATAATATGAATATAGTTATGGTTTCATGAACTTTCAATTGTTCTATAACTTTCACACACATAACTCTACATTTATAGCACAAATTTATTAGAATTATTACAGAGCTTTAAATGCAACCACAATCAATTCAGGAAATAGGTTTATTTACTGATGTTCATGGGAGGAAAATCTACATAAAAACATTCATGAAAGCATACCAGCTATGTCATACTTGAATTATTATACTAAATCCCATTTATTAAAACTCATTGTGAAACAATGGGAAACCATGAAATGTAATTTGAATACAAATATTGGTCCCTGGGGGGGTCTCAACAGTCATAAAAATATAGGAAAACAGATCTTTATTTAAGATTGGAGCTGTTAATGTGGAAAGCTGTTTTTCTGAAGCTGGCCTTACAGTTTCATTTAAAGCCCTGAAGATTTTAGTGTAAACTTTTTGATGACATCTTCGGCATTTCATTTAAGCCTAATGATGACCAGCAAGGAAAGTGACCACATTTTCTGTATGGAGAAAGGTTTAGAATTACTTTGTTGACTTCGTTTCCCCAAACACAGGCACCAGTTGGACTTTCTAGTGTATAAACAAATAAGAATAATAAGAATTGTGAAGATTGGGTCCCAATTTCTTGTTTAAGCAAGTGTATAGTTACTCATTGCTTTTATTTTTTTCATGTAATGTAAATAAGAAGGAAATATTAAATAGTTTAAAGTTATTTTTATAGGACAATAACATTTCATAGGCTAACATAAAATCAAGCTGCTAAATTTTACAATTTTTCTGTCCAGCAGTTTATCTATATAACTGCCCTGAGTAGATGCTAAATGCTGCTTAGCAAATGGCCCTTAGAATTTAAATATGACTCAGTAAAGCTACTCAAGAGATAAAACAATTCTCCTCAGGCATGTGTAATTTTAATTAGAAGAAGGTAGGAGTCTCATTGGTTAATTATCTGCTTGTTTAATTTCATACTTCATATAAATGGGATTATAAGAAGTTTTAACTGTGCTTGTTACTGTGCATTTGAGTCCATATGAATTTTTTTTTTTTTGGTCAAAAAGGCAGGAATTGAAGGAGTAAAGTGTTCTCTCTCTTGGAAACTAGATATATTAACTTTTAGAAAAGTGTATATTGTTCCCTTGCTAAACAGCTTTGTGTAACCGCTCAGAATCTTAGTTTTTCTAAAGAAGGCTGTATCTCAAATGTGTTGCTTAATTTGTTTATTGTAGTGCATTTCAAAACTGTACAAATGTGTAAAATTTGTGCTTGTGGAAGTTGCTGTTCTGAGTAGCTTTACTTTCCTTCATTGGATCCTAGCAATCCTCAAGCTATTGCATGCCCCGTTCATGAAAGGAATACTTCGTTGGGATGATGTGGCCTAAACGGTTTGGCTCTAAGCCTCTTTACTAGCACTTCCCTTACAATTATATTAATTTATAATAGATATTGAATGATAGTTTTACAAAAAACAAATTAATGAATTGGTCTTTATGAAAATGACTCTTTACAGTAAGTAAAAAAGGGTTATCACAGTTTTGGTAACTTGCATGAGTTCATATTGAAAAAAAAAAAAAAACACCTTTCACATGTTCTTAATAACTTTAAAACTGCCGCGCTCTAGGGGCGTGCTCAGTTGTATGCTCTGAAGCAGTAGACACCATACAGCTTATGCTTCTTATCTGGGAAACCCACGAAGCGCACCGCAGCCTCGTTGGGACTGCAGCGCCTTCTTGGCCTAGAGATGGGGTAGCGGACGCTGCCATCTGCCAGCCAGCCCGCATCGCAGCGGTCATATCCCAGAAGTTTCCAGGCAGCAAATATTTGGCCCACTTTGGCAATCTGAGCACCATCTTTGAGGCAAGCCTGGACCGCTTCATCATAGGTCAGCTTGGTAGGGTGGATCAGATAGTAAAAACGGCCTGCAGAGGGAGAAAGAGAGAAACCGTCAATGGGCCTGTCCTTGCCTGAGTCACACAGAGGTGGAAGGAGCCAAATTGTGTTTCTCAATGGAGGGGAATATGGAGCAATGTCTGTAAGGTTTTGTGGAACATATGATCACCAATTAAATGTAGTGCCCAGGTCGCTCTCCACTAAATTAGTTTTTCCCTTGCCCCTTAAATGTGTGTTCAGACATGCCCTTGTACAGCTTTTAAAAAAGCAAAGGGAAATGACAGATGCAGTTTCTTTTAGCTAATTAGTAACTAAAAGGGCCCTTCTGTGGCACTAGAGAAGACAGAATCCCATGTTAAAAGCAAGAGCTATTTAAATTCTAGCTGTAGCAAGACCCAAGCCCAGTACAAGTTTCTGGAGAGGCAAGATTTGAATGTGAAAGGATCAAAAAACATTACTGACATAAAAGTCCATTTAAAAAAATCAAAAGCCCTCAAGTTCTTTTCATTACAGGTATCAATAAGACATTATTCTTATTCAAAGACTACAGTATGAAAATGCAAAAAATACAGGAAGTCACTTGCCATAAATAACACAGACTCAGAATGTAAACTCGGCCGGGTTTGCTTCCTTGCAAGAGGATGAATTTTTTTTCAACTTTCCTCCTTTGGAACCCTGATACCCACCATTTCTTGATTCCACAGCAAAGAGCAAGTTAATTTCAAACATTTATTGAATAGTGGTAATTATTGAGATTCCCTCAAAATGTGTTATAAAGGCATTAAAAAGTAAAAAATGACATAACTGACCGAAGTGATAAATACTGATGCAAGATTTTCTCAGACTTTTAGCTTCAGATAGAATCTAATCCCTCTTATTTGATTACAAATTGCATTGTGGGGCTCCCCTGCTCCTCACTGAATATAGATGACTCAAGTATAAGCTAATGTTTACAATTTCTTTCTACCTTAAGATATGTGATTTGCAGAGATGGAAGAGGTCAGGGGAACATGAACTAGAGGGTGAGTTCTGTCATCTATCCCGGAGGTCAGCAATTGCAGCGCAGGAAGCAAGTGAAACTTTATTAGAACACGCCACACCCACCCATTTAAAAGCGTCTATGGCTGCTTTTGTTTTACAAGGTACAATGACACACTGAGGAGTAACAGCAGAGACCATATGGCCCGCAAGGCCAAAACTATGACGAGCTGGTTCTCTATAGAACATTTGTTCATCTCGGATCCTTTATTATTTTTCCCCAAAGCAAAGCACTAGAAACTATGGAGCCAAGATTTGCTTCATGGGTGTGACTGGGCAGTTACACAGGGCCCCAAGCTTGACTTGATATTCTCCTGAACCAAGATTAAAATTCTTAATCATTTTTAAATATGGATGACACATTTTCATTTTTCACAACCACAAATTATGTTGCTATTTCTGGATGGAGCAAGAGAAAGTTGGGATTTGTGATGCATTCAATAAATCACTTTCATCACTGACGCAACGGGGATTTCTTTTCTTCTGCTTTCGTCTCCAGTGTTACTCTCTACTTATTTTTCTGGCAAAATTTTCCTCTCTCTTTATGAAAGAGAGAAAGATAGAGAACCTTTCTTTATCTTGAGTTTTGCTGATCATCCATGCATCCATTGTAATTTAGAGGCGAACATGGCACAGAAGCCATCTTTACTTCAAATGAGAGATCTACATTCCAGAGAGAGCACACAATGGCAACATCATCTTTGGCAAAAAGAAAAGTTAACAACGAGGTAAGAAAATAAATATGAAAAAATAAAAAAAAAAAAAACCTGATCATACACTACCTACACACATACAAAAAGGAAAAAAAGGAAGAAACACAACCCATACGATGTCACAATTAAAGCTATTTTATAACAATTAGATGAAATATAACCTAAGAGTAGAGGAAACAGACACCTTTGCCTGCCTTATGTGGATACTTTTAAAAAATTATGACATTAAAGAACTTTCACATCTTTTCAAGCTAAATCAACACTTCAAAGGTTTTTTCTTTCTTTTTTAAGCGGATGAGATAAAAAGTCAAGTGTAATCTCTAGGATAAGAAAGAAGGCAGCATGGTTCATATCTTACCATTGAAGTTGGACGTAAAACAGAAAACATCATATCGGCTTTTATCTTTATCCCAAAACCCGTAGTTCCTGACTCCGGGGACTGTGTTCTGGCCTCCACAAGGCTCTCTGGGCTTTGTGATGGGGTATTGCACAGACCCATCGCTGAGCCAGCCAGCATTGCACCAGTCCAGCCCGGCCCGCCAGGCATCATACAGCTGGTCGAAAGAGGCCATTACCGCATCCTGGTCCACACAAGCCTGCTGGGCCTCGTGGAAATTCAGATTGTAGCGTCCCAGTCGTGGAAAGTATGGGAATACCACACCTGTCCAAAGAAGGTGAGGGTCATTGGTGGCACAAAGAGCAACAACTATGAGCAAATATGTCATTTTTATGATTATTGTTCTCATTTTAATGACAGATCAACAGAGTTTAGAATTGTAAATTTCAGAAGCCTTTAGGAAACACAATCACCAATTACCTAATTTTTATGAAATTCTAACTTCCCAAATCCAAATAAGAATTCCCTGAAATACAACTAGATATATTTCAAGAGTCTAAATTAAAGATACATCACCAGATATTTCAAATTACATCACAAATAGTTTTTTGGGGGATTGTTTTGTACAAGCAAATCTGAATTGACTGGTGAAAAACCGAATGGCCTTACCATTTATAGAAAGAGCAGTTTTTTGGTGCACTGGCAGTGGTTTCTCATCTACCTTTCTCCTGCAAGCTGTCTTTCATTTTTGAGCATCTCACAACTAAATATTTGGTTTGATAAGTTCAGTGATGTATCACTTTGGTTAAGAATTCAACTCTTAAAATTTTCCTTTATGAAATGATTTGTCTGCCTCTTGCAGTTTCCAAATAGTTCTCCCTCAGAATTTAACTTCTGCTGCTGGTTTCCCTAAAACAGATGACCACCCAGACTTGTCCACACAGGAAAAAATCAAATAGTAGTGAGTAGAAAGAGTGGTAGGAGATGCAGAAATTGTGCTCAGAGAGAAGGCATTTATCAAAATTCACAATTTTTCTTCTTAATTATTATCATATAATTAGTAATTTGTTTTTTTATGTTCTTGTAAAATACATGTATTTTTAAAGATTTATTTATTTATGCATACAAGAGCTGGGATACAGGCCAGAGATGCAGGGGCGGGGGAGGGGGAGGTGAGAGGAGTCACCAGAGACAGAGTGGGGAACAGAACAGACAGGCCGACTGAAATACACTGCTGAGGGGAGCAGTGGGAGAGGTCTGGAGACGTCTGCTGCACCATGTGGGTTGCTCCCTGACCAGCTGGGGATCATATTCATTCTGCAGAGGCTGTGGGCTGCCTCATAGTGCAGTGCTTAACCTCTTGCACCAGCAGGGAGGCCCTCTTGTAAAATATTTGTTAACAGGTGAGTAAAATATAGATATATACACCTGTGCTCCTAAAAACTTGCAGGTAAGGAGCCTTTCTGGTGGCACTGGGGTTAAAATCTCAGTGCTATCAAGCTATCGCCAGCCACTGCGGCCTAAGTTTGATCCCCAGCCTGGAAGCTAACCCACATGGCACAACAGACCTCTCCTATCTTTGCCGCTGCTCCCCTCAGCAGTGTATTTCAGTGGATCTGCCTGTTCTGCTCCCCACTCTGTCTCTGGTGAATCCTCTTACTTCCCACCCCCTACCTCTGGCCTACACCCCAGTTCTTACATGCATAAATAAATAAAAATAAATCTTTTAAAAAACTTGCACTTATTGGATTTCTTATTTAGAGAAGATTTAAAGTGAATCCTGTTGGATATCTAACAAAAACCTAATAAAGTCTTATTCCATAGTAATAAGGCAATTCTCTACAGTGAGGCACACCCCTGTAGAAAGCATCGTGGCTCTCTTATCTCTTTAAACTTTATTGGAGTGCTTTATCTTACTTTGTGCCATCCTTGAATAGCAAAACTAAAACACGAGCTTTCATTTAAAAGTATTTTCATTACTATTTTTAGCTTCCATGTTCACATACTTTAAAGCAAAACTAATATTTTAAGAACTTTTTTTTATTGCAAATAGAAAAATAGCTTCCCAGAGCATCCTATACAAAGGAAGTACATACAGATAACCATTGATTAAGAATTAATAGATTTTAAGAATTAAGCTACATATTTTAAGGGTATAAACCCTTAGCAAATATAAGAATTAATCCACACATGTTAAGGACACTAACCCTTAGCAAATATAAAAAGCACAACTTGGAACTTGCCTTTGCTTAAGAAGATGTAATGTTTTGCCCCCAAATAACTCTTTTTAGTCAAATAAGCATGGGAGGTGATTGAATCATCCCATACTTTCTACATAATTTCCTTAAAGAGTAAGGCTCATAAGAAAGCAAAGTTGTATCATTTGATGAACTTCCAGAAGGACTGACTGCTCTATCAAAATGTTTCTCCTAAAGTGGCTAAAAGACAATCAATTTACAGTGATTATTGAAGCCTTGTCTTGGATTTTTTAAGATAGAAAGAATATTTTTAGCATGTACAATGTAAAAGACTGTCCCCTTGATGATCATTTGTGGAGCGTATCACATGTGCTATTTTATGAGACTGCTGACACTGTTCAAAAGAAATGTACAATTCACTAATCGTGTAACCAGTACACAGGACATGTTTTCTTTTATAAGTTGAAGACTCTAAAGAAGAAATTTCAATAGCCTAAATCAAGTTGCGCCTCTGCAGGGCACGTTTGTCCCTCTAAAGCTGTCCAGCTGGCACTGTTCACGAGAGGCAGAGGTCCAAGAAGGTTTCCTGATCTGATCCTGCCTTCTCAGATTCTTGGCTGCAGGATCTATAAGCTGAGTCAGGGCCAAAAAGAGGAGGAAAAGACTCTCTTGGTTGCCATTCCCCCTGCAGTGATGGGGGTAGGGAAGCCTAGAAATGGTTGGGTCTAAGAGCATCTGCTAAGAGTCGAGTTAGTGCTGGGAAGGAAATGCAATGTTCTCTCTGTTCTCACGTGCCTTTTATTCTCCTTCCTTAGCACACCAAGGAATACCAATGAAAAGGAAAATATTTAATTTATCTAGTAGAGATTTCCTTAAGTGAGAGAAAATCTCAAGCTATCTCAATCTGGAGAGAAGGAAACCCTTTGGGTTGAATTTCACTTCCCAAAGGGGTCAAGATAATAATAGAGAACACAGGATATTTTACCTTATCATAGCTTTAAAGACCTAGATGACCCTTCAGGTTTAAATTCACAATAGTATATCTGGTGAACTACTATGGACATTAGAAAATTTTTTTTTCTGAAGTATTTTGTCCTTGATTAACCATTGAATGTCACTTAAATATGATTGATTCAGTACCAAATCCATTGTAATATATTTAATTTTAGTTGTTTTCAAATTTAACATAACTTTCATGCAATAGTTTCTTAAAGTCATAATGAAACCCAATATAAAATTTTAGTATTTTTAAATTGTAACACAAATGGTTAAATTCTTGTTATGTTATCTCAAAAGACTTACTTAACAAAATTCGATTAATATCTGATGATGCTGGAATGAACAAATTCCAAGTAAATCAAGGTCAATTTCTATGTCAGATTCAGTCAAAGCTTTGAGGGTTTTATTGTCTTAAATGCATTTGTTGTACAAATTTCAACAATAAGCTATTTCTTACATGCAGGGACATTTCTGAAACTACATATTAGTATTCTATTTATTTACTTATTTAATTTCCAGTTAGTTAAGATTTCCACATCTAAGACTTTAATTGCAGAAACTTCTTGACTCTGGAGAAATGTGCAATACAGATTAACTGTTGATTAAGAATTAATCTACATATTAAGAATTAAGTTTAATTCTTAATTATGGAGCAAATTATGATTGCTTTCATCCAGCATTACAAAAATAAGAAAAGTTAAATTTTCATGAGTGAGAAAGAAGGCTGCATGATTATTTTTCCAACTGTGATTATTTTATACTTTATGACAAAATATAATCAAAAGCCTTCACTTTTCCATGAAGGCCTAGATGCATCTCTAAAAAGAATATTACTATGGATGATGCATCACATGGAAAATAATAATATCAAACTATGTGAGTAGCTTTGTCTGTCAAAATGTTTTGAAACACATTTTTTTAAGATTTATAATTACATAATTCAACTCATCCTAGTTGTTAACAAATATGAATTCATTAGACAGAAGGCGGATTCTCACACCATGGTACATATAAAAGCCAAAATAAATTTTAATGAATATTTTTAGTAATAAAAATTCAGAAACCATGTAGCATACTTTTACTTTCCTTAGTGTTTTTCTAAGTGCATACTAGCAATATGTTTGGCTGAAATTTTCTATTTTTTAAAATTCTCAAACTATACTTTTTTATTTGACCCCATTTTCATGAAAATGAAATGAAAATGAAATGACCCCATTTTCATGAGAAAACATACAGTGGGTGATTGGGAGCGCATATATCATGTTTTTCATATCATTACTCATATTATTGATTGCTGAGATGAATTCTGCAGCCCAGGCTACTTACCAATTTCTAGTGACAATCTCCTTGTTATATTCATATAAAACTTGTCTTTTTATATTCATATAAAGATATATACAATCTCCTTGTATATACTCATGCAAAGACAATGTGGGTAATTGGTACCAGCAATGTGGGTAATTGGTACTTTTCAGTACCAATTTGCCCAAGATCCTTAAAAAAAAGTATTTCAACATCTAGGTACAAACCATAAATAGGTCAATCAGTCTTTCAAAAGGGCTTACAGTTATTTTTTATTGGTATGATTCAAATATTTTTTTTAACAGATAGTTAAGAGCAAGGTACTATACTCTGTACTAAAATACAATTTTGGGGTAGGCCCTCTTCTTATGAGGAGTCTGTGATTATATATATCTCAATGGATAGTTTATAAATTTGAATCCAAGGCAGAATAAAATCTTGTAATATAAAAACAAACCATACAATTTGGGCATCTTAAAGAACTTGTTTTTTCTAATTGGAAAAATTCTTTGTAGAACATAGTATTTCATCTTGTATTAAAAAAGGGCCAATATAATGAAAGACATCATACAGTTAACAGTTGCAATGACAATTTCATCATGACATTGAAAATGATATGCTTTCCTGATCTTACTTAAGCATTTTAGGAAATTGGCAAAGAGTTTGAGTGAATCTTTCTTGATGCTCCCATGTTAAGGATGTAATTGATAATGCAAAAAGATCAGAATCTGGAACAAGAACTAATAAATAATAAACACAAGGTATCTCCTTTGTCACATGTAGTTTTCCGTAACCTTCAAACTCTTATGTATATAACCTGGGTACTCTGATCATCTACTCCAGAGCATGTGGAAATCATCCTCTGGTAAGCAACAAGGTACCTCAAATCATAATCTATGGTATTGTGTCTCTCTTAAATTTGTTGTAGTAATTTCACTTACAATATGTGTCCTTCTCATATTAGAATACATATATAAAATAATGCCCCATGAATTTTTCTTAAAAATTCTTCAGTGAAAGTGGAGTAAATAAAGCAAGAAAGAATAAGACTGTCTATATCATAATTTTGAGAGATGGCTGCTGGTACACAGAAATCATATACCAATATTTTCACTTTACCCAATGTTTGAAATTAGTTATAGCAAAAAAAAAAATTATTCCATCCTATTGTCAAATTGAGCCTTAAACTAGTCAAGCAGGATGCTAACTGTCTGTGGTATCTTCATTCTCTCTGATACCTATGATGCCCTATAACCCTTTTCATACTCTTTATCAACTAGTGAAAAAAAACCATTCACTTTTCAGTGTCCAAATCAGTGTCTCTTCCTTAGGAGTGGTTTCCCTCACCCCTCTATTGCATATATAATGTTTTGTATTTAAAAGTATATGGTGTTGAGATAAAAGTTCATAGTTTTTAACCTACATATGAAAAGGTGTGATCACATATCTCTGAATCATACAGAACATTATAAACCAATGTTACCTCTATTTAAAATAAATACAAGAAAAAGAAGTTTTAAACATTCAATCACTTATTACTGAGTGTACTAACTCTGTTCTTGGCACTTGACTGCCCTCAAATAGATCATATTTAGCAGGTAGAGACAGAGATTTTTGCAAATATTTACAAAACATAATGTGGGGCCTCCCTAGTGGTGCAAGGGGTTAAGTCTTAGCACATAAAGCTATCAGCAGCCTCTGCAGCATGAGTTCTTCCCTGGCCAGGGAGCTAAACCATATGGTGCAGCAGACCTCTCTTGTGTCTCCCCCTGCTTCCCTCAGCAGTGTATTTCAGTAGATCTGCCTGTTCTGCTTCCCACTCTGTCTCTGGTGAATCCTCTCACCCTCCCCACATCTCTGGCCTGCATCCCAGCTCCTGTATGCATAAATAAATATTTATAAAAAACATAATATAATTAGAGCTGTAATGGAAATCTATATAAGTTGCTACGAGAAAGTCATAGCTGGAGGGTGGAAGGTAAGCACACAGAATAAAATTGATCTTTGATTTTACTATTGAAGGATTATGCTTTCTTCAGTTGTTCAAAAATGGATTGATGTGTAAAATGTTCAAAGTTAAAATATCAGTTATTTATAGGCAATTTCTCTGGTTAATGACTGCTTCTATCCTTTCTACAGCACACAAGAAAGATGGAAAAATGCTATCTGCAATGATAGGATTTGGCAGTTCTCATGGGTACACCAATTAATACATTATTAACAAAGGACAGTCCCAAGGTCATCCCCCAAACCTGCCAAATGTTGCTGCCTTCTTGAAACTTCTTATTTCTTGTCCAGCAGAGAATTTCTCCTTCCTTTGAATTCCTAGGCCATAGTGGATAAAAGCATTGGCTTCACCCAATGCCCTTAGTATGAAATTCCATCTCTGACTCTTATTACTAGCCATGTTATCTTAAAAAAGGAGTTATCCCTAAGTGTCATCTGTCAAGGGGAATTATGGAAAGTATAGAAAGTAAACAAAATAAGTAGTGCATAATATTAGAATATCTTGTTTCTATCTACCTACTTCACCAAACTTTGTCTTATTTTAAAGTACTTATTTTTGAAGGTATCCTAGAACCTTCAATGGACTGTAAACCAATTCACCTTTCAGGGTCCAAATCATTGTTGAATGAAAGGAACCAAGATTTGAAATTCTTCATATCTCATGGCATCAAAAATAGCACTTAGAAAATATTTACCTATTAAATTGGTTTCTTGGACCCAGAGACTTGACTCAGGTTTGTTCTATGGTAGGGAAGTGTTCCAAAAGTATGTCAACATGGAGATTTGGGATGGCAGAAGACCTACACAGGAAATAGTACTCTCCTTACATTTCACCTTCAAAACCTCTAATTGTGTGTTGACTGGAGTCTCAGAGGCTAGAGTGCATTATTTTCTAACATATACAAAATCGCCTTTTAAAGCAAAAGGAGAGCAGATACCATGCTCAATGCCATTGGCAAGCAGTGGTATCAAACTAGAAGTAGAAATATCTTGCATTCATTTTTATGGTTTCCTTCTATTTCTGGCAAGATATACTGTTTCTACATATTTAAATGTCATCTTAAAGTAAATGCAGGGAGAGAGAAAATATGACAAGAGCATTACTTACATTTTAGAAATATTGTGATATATAAATACAGAATTTCAGAAGAAAAAATGATATCACATAATATAGGTCAGTCTTTGATTCTTAAATGAGGAAGTAAAAGTACCTCAAAAGTAAGTAACTTGTGGGCCTCCCTGGTGGCTCAAGGGTTAAGACGCAACCTATGAAGTGATCCACAGCCACTGCCGCACGAGTTCAATCCCTGGCCAGGGAGCAACCCACATGGCTCAGCAGATCTCTCCTGACTCGCCTGCTGTTCCCTCAGCAGTGTTTCAGTCAATCTGCCTGTTCTGTTCCCCACTCTGCCTCTGGTGAATCCTCTCACCCCCCACACCTCTGGCCTGTACCCCAGTTCTTGTATGCATAAATAAATAAATCTTAAAAATAAAACGTAACTAACTTGCACCACCTATTAAATGTATGTTGGCAGAGTTGGTATGAGCCTAAGCATCGTGACTAACAGCTCAAGGCTCTGTCCGTTGCCTGATTCCCCTTCAATGAAGGAAATGGCTTTTAATTAATAGCTAATTATTGATTGTCTTCTCTAACCCAATTACTTCTTTCATCCTGAATAATGCTAATATTCATGAACATTGATGTGAATCAATAAAATTGAAAGCACAAGGTGGTTTGCAATCAGGAACAAAAAGCTACAACTAAGAGAGATAAAAGGACACAAAAATGCATTTTGTGTTATTGCAAATCCAGTAAATTTCCATACATGAGATGGGTTCTGTGGGATTCAGAAGGTCATGATTTCCGTGATGTGCCGGTGGCTCAGATATTTTTCTAAAACGACAAATCTATCCTAGATGTGAATGGGACTTCTAGAAAACGCACAATTTATAGTTTACGGACATAAAGAAGGAATTTAGGGCCTCTCTGGTGGCACAGATGTTAAGCACAGAACTGTGAAGCTATCTGCAGCCTCTGCAGCAAGACTTAGATCCTTGGCTGGCCAGGGCGTAGCAGACCTCTCCAGTCTCTCCCACTGCTGCCCTCAGCAGTGTATTTCAGTAGATCTGCCTGTTTTGGTCCCCATTCTGTCTCTGGTGAATCCTCTTACCACCACCACCTCCGTACTTTTGGCCTGCATCCCAGCTCTTGTATGCATAAATGAATAAAAATAAATCTTATTTATTTATTTAAATATTTATTTAAATATTTATTTAAATATTTATTTATTTTATTTATACAAGCACTGGGTACAGTCAGAAGCGTGGGAGGGTGAGAGAATCCACCAGAGCCAGAGCGGGGAGCAGAGCAGGCAGAAGGACCGGAGCACACTGCTGAGGGGAGCAGCGGGTGGCAGGAGAGGTCTGCACGCCATGTGGGACCCTCCTTTGGTGGCTGGGGAGCCCCTGGGGATCGAACCGGCGCTGCAGAGGCTGCGGGCAGCTTCGCAACCCAGCGCTCAACTGCTGCGCCGCCGGGGAGGCCCTAAATCTCTTTTTTTTAAAAGAAGGAATTTATTCTATTAATGTAATCAAAATTCATCCTTTACTGTAAAGAAACACTAATAGCCATGAATGTAGATGTTTTGAGATACATGTGCCACCAAGAAGAAGTATTTCCTTATTGTTGGGACATATTAAGTAAAATTTAGGAAGAGACAGGATGACAAGGACTTTTTATTGTTTAGCTTTGTGTTTATTTTGGTTTTGAAACTACTGAAAGGGCTATATGTTTAAGAACTAAATTCTAACCCCTTTCAATCTGATATTCATTTAGTATTAAATGTCTAAGAGACTCTGGACCATTTAAAAAATACTTCTTTATATAAGAATATTTTAATGAATCAAGAGGTTACTTGTTTGTTAAATTGAGTTTTCACAGTTACTTTACAGAATACAATTACATGGATGTTAGTTAGCAGATGTCCTTCACAAAACTTGCCATTTTTTTTTTTAAATTGAGATAATTTTAGAAGCATGCTGAAAAAAGAAAACCTTCCAATCTGAATTTCTCAATAACCATAAAATGAGGTTTTAATTTTGAACAGCATAAGGCAGGTCTTGAATATTGCTCATTTAAGTTCCACTGCATATCTCTCCTATTTGCAAATGGCTTCAGTTTTGCATGTAACTATTGTGTGAACATTTCAAATATGAAAGTTTGAATGATAGAGAGCAAAATACAAAAGAACAGAAACACATGCTATACATAGAATTTTGGTTTCTCACATCATCACTATGGAGACCACTAGCTATTCCTTGTCAAGAAAAAAAAAAAAAAGTAATGATTAGTTCTCATTTCTAAGTTTGAGATGAGTTGTAGAAACCTACCTTGTAAATCCAATGCTACCACAGCAGTATCATCTTCTAAGCCTTCAATTACCTCACACTTGTACCTCCCGTAATCCTCCAGGGTGAGGTCGGTGATCACCAGAGAAGCATCGTTATCACTGCTTCTCTTCAGAAACACTCTATCCTGGTAGCCTCCATAGGTTTTCTTGTGGTAGCCCATGGAAACAAAAACATCCACTTCCTTGAGGTAATCTGAAGTCAGCTTGGTCCACTTAATTCTGATTTTGTGGGTTCCTGAGCCAAAAGCTGTAGGGTCTCGATAAAATTTGCATGGCAGTGTAACATTGCCACCTCTATGTGAGAACACCTTGGCTTGTTCTGCTTCCACGAGTAGGCGGGGACCATTTTCTGCTATAATTGAAAAGAAAAGAACTATTAATATTTTTTAGGCTTTTTAATAAAATGAAAAATGCTATCTATACAGGGAATCTGGCAAATAGCCTTGGATGATAAGCTTCTCTGCAATGTTGAATCTCCTTTGAACCACATCAAAAGATAAATCTAATACCTAGACATCATCTATTCAATATAAGGAAATTGTATCTTTTAAAACACTGAAAAATGGAAGGATGGGCATGATAATCATTAAAAAATATTGGATAGCTCCCCCCCCTCAGTGGCTTAAGGGTGAAGTCTCAGTGCTATCACCACTGGGGCCCGAGTTCGATCCCTGGTCAGGGAGCAACCCACATAGTGCAGCAGAGCTCTCCTGTCTCCACCTCTGCTCCACTTAGCAGTATATTTCAGTAGCTCTGTCTGTTCTTCTCCCCACTCTGTCTCTGGTGAATCCTCTCACTCCCCACACCTCTGGCCTGCATCCCAGTTCTTTTATGCATAAATAATAAAAATCTTAAAAAATGCATCCATTAAAAAAAGGAAAGAAATATTAGATAACAAGGTAATATTCAGATAAGAAAGTCATCGAAGTTTGATGATTTCACAATAAATTCTACTTATTTTTCTTCTATATTTAAACATAAAAATGTAAAACAAAGACAAGTGAACGTTTCATGACTACCTCCCCAATGTAAGCACAAAAATTTCTAGTGAGACAAATTTATCTCTTTCCATCTGACCTTTCTAGTACAATAAATCTGTATTATATATTCTGGAAAATGTATAGAGCAGCATTAACTTTAATTGTACTGTTTTGACCAAAGAAATTTAGGATAACCTCATGGCTTCTAGTGAAATATACACCTGCAATATGCCACTCTGGAGCATTTCAAGCATCTGTATATATTTTATTTTAACACTATAAAGGCTAGATATCAAAAAGGTTTTTTGGTGAGTGTTTGAAAAACTCCAGCTTTGAGAAATACATTCCTCAAAACTTAAATGTTACAAGTATTCCCAAAGTTGTACTTACTTTTTGATTAACCAAATAATTATTTTGTTTACTCTGTTTAATCTCCTTTGTCTCCTCTCTTTGCTTTCTGCTATGTCTTGTTTGACAGTTACTGCTTCCACCTTTCCTTTCCTCCCCGTTTTTTTTCCCTCCTCCCTCTTCCAAGGACTTTATTGCCTTCCAGAGAGCACCGCAATATTCCAAGCCTGCCAAGTCAGCAGACTGCTAGTCTCTAGAGATCCAGCTGTTATTTTCAGATCTTGGCTTTCTCTGGGGTTTCCCCTGGTTAGCTCATTGTGTTTTTGACCTTGACAAGGTCTCCTGAGGATGTGCGAGATTTGAAAATGAGAAATCATTATAAAAACTCCTGGACACACACCTTCTCATCCACACACAGCTCTCAAAATTGCCTTTCATGGAGCTCTGCAGCCCTACCTGCTGTAGGCTGGTAGGTTACGAATAAACTTTAGGCACAAATCATTTAAGATACACAATTCACCAGGAAGAATAACCACACACCTTCTCATCCACGCACGGCTCTCAAAATTGCCTTTCATGGAGCTCTGCAGCCCTACCTGCTGTAGGCTGGTAGGTTACGAATAAACTTTAGGCACAAATCATTTAAGATACACAATTCACCAGGAAGAGTAACCAATCACCTTCAGAAAGATCTCAAACTTAGTTATGTAATGGCATACACAGGATTCAGATTTTAAAATAGTGTTCAAAAGTGACACAGTGGTCCATCTTTTATTATATAGCATCCAAATTAATATAAAAATGAACATATTTCATGTATAATCAGTCTCAGTCCTCAGGATCTGGGGTTAACAAAGCCATCAATGTCCACACTGTGAGTAGATAATAAAATCAAAGGGCAATGGTTAATTAAAATGAATCACAAATTCACCTCATTAAGTTTTTCCATTAGATTCTGCTTTTTGTCTCTCACTTAGGGCTGTTTAGGGGAGGTACCATGTCTCCAACCGCACTTATATGTAGTCACCTTAGACTAGCCATTGGGAACTAGATTTTTCACAGTATTTCTCAAATATTATACTGCTAAATATTGAGCCTATTTTTGGCAATTTAGTTAATCTTCCACGGTTTCACTTACTTATAAAGTTTTGAACCATGTGGAATGAAAAGGTATATAAAATATCACCTGTTTTATATAGACCTAGAAATTATTGTGTGGTTTAGCATAATCATAAGGTGTTCCAGAATGAATACAGTTCTGCCCATTTGATAAATTAAAGATCAAAGCAAAGATCAAAACTCTTGCATGAGGGACCAAAACATCTTTTTTTTTTTTCTGTGGTTAATTGTAAATTGTTTTTGGAGTATTTTAGAAGGATAGGTTTCTAATTTTTGACTTCATTATGCTCCAGAATAATGAATTGATGATGACTCATGTGGTGTAATATTGAGAACTGAGCAGACACTAAAGTTGACTTATTTCCCATAGAATAATTTTTTTTTAAATAATTCTGCCAGAATGTAAAATTCTACCATTCTTATTTCTCTTTTGGTGGGTTGAGGTGTTGAGGTAATAAAGACCAGAAGTCCCTGGACTGAAATTCTAGAAGTACTAAAAAAGACGTGTAATATGTAGCACATTGAGTGACTGAGTGCCATGAAAGTTCACTAACCTGAACCTTCAAAAACATTGCCTTGGAACAATATTTGTTGTGGGTCACGTGATTTAGAAGACCGATATTGCAGAGTCCACAACAGTGAGCACTGCTCGTGGGAGTGGCCTGTGGCAGCACAGGTAAGATGTTGAAGAAGGAGCACTGGTCAGTGAGTGAGGTGCTCTGGGTCCCAGAGCAGACTCTTGCATGTTCTACCTCAGAGAACATGAAGTTTAAGATTGTTATCAGGCTTGCTATGGTGAGCTGTCATCAGAGATCACCAGGAAACACACTATGTTGGACAGAAGAGGGAACGAGGGCAGAGAGCAGAAAAGGGCAACCAAGAGGGAAAATGGCAAACTGCACAAGTTGCCTAGATTAACTATGGATTATGAGCATTGAATTTAAAAACCTGGATCAGTTTAAAGTTTAAATCAGAGCTCTTTGATCAACAAGCAACTGCAAAACAAATAAAAGCAACAGATAAAAATAAACCTCGATCATCAAAATGAGTATTGCTCATTTTCCTTTTTTAAAAAAATGAAAGAACAAATAAAAACAAACAACATACATGTGTTTACTTGAAGACTGAATTTTTTTAAGTCCAATTGTTAAGTTACAGGATTTCCTATTTTTATTAGTGAGACTCAATGCCAGTGACTTGAAAGACTTCATGCCCTTCAAAGACCACACTTGTCTCCAGGGGAAACAGCAGGACCTCATTATTCTCTTATACATTCTGCTGTGAAATCCAGAGGACTTCATTCAATTTCACCATATTATGAAAGCAATGGCATGACCTGACCACCAATCTTTGTATGCTATGTCATTTCGATGAAGTTTTAAATATCAGGACAAAAACAATTAGCTGCAGAAAAACAATTTAGATATATAATACTAGACTATTATCAATTGTTCTCAGCTCTATTAAAAGTGCAGTGGGGGAGGGGGTGCAGATGATCACCAAAGAAACACAGGTGACAGAAAAAAGGAGAAGGTGCTATGGATCAAAATTTGTCTCTTTAAAACTGTATGTCCGTGCAGGGGCAATCTTGGTGTTGGCTACTTCCTCACTGCTGCTTAAGTGAAGTAGCCTCCTAATTTCTGGATTTCCTAGACCAATAACATGTTAATACAAAAACAAAATTGGAGGAAACTGTTTAAGATGATTACATCAGTTGTTAAACGAGAACATTACAAATGCTTCCCTTTCCCCCAAAAAAAATATTGCCACCATTTGAATTTTTTTAATCATAAAATTTGCCATAATAACCATTTTCAGTGTAGAATTCAGGGACATTTTCTGCTTCCACAGTGTTGTGCAACCATCACTATCTAGTTCCAAATCTTTGTCATCACTCCAAACAGAAAGCTAATGCTTCCCTGACATTCTACACTGGTTGGCAGAGACTCAACTGTCAGCTTCATGATGAGTCATTTGAAAAACTGCTAAAGGTTTTTAAAATGTTACCTTAGTTATGTGACAACCGTTATCACTTGATAGGTTTCGATTTGTAAGACTAATGCTGTTACTCTCTGTAGAGTAGCCAAATCTGCCTGAGGGTGAGCAATCGGGATGGATTTACATCCTGTGCTTTCCTTCCTCTGCTGAAAGCAATCACTGTCTCCCTGGGCCATGTGTTGTTTACATTGCTCCTCCAGCATCAAGGCAGTGCCCTGCATAAGCTAAGTGTCAGCTGCTGAAATGTACCAGAGCTGCCTAGTGGCTGTGCTTAGCTATGAATACACCTGAGCTTTCTGTATATCATATCATAGTGGGGCAATGAAAACACTTCATAAAATCAATTATACAAGTACATAGCAAAATACTTAAGCAGAATACATAATTTAGATATTGAACTCCTAGTACCTTACGCATGACATGAGTAGGATGCACACTAGGAGAAATTAAGGAGGATCTTACTGTAAATGTTAACTTTTGGATTATGTTGTTTCCTTCTAACTGGAAAGATCTAATTTTCCGTAAGGTGCTCATCAGAACCAGGGCTCCCACTGTCTGCTCATGAGCATGGTGTGTCCAGTTTGGCATCAGCAACTTTTATGAGGCTTGTCCTCTGTCTCTGTTGCTCCCACCCCCACCCAACCTGTATAGCCGCTCCCCCTTACCCGAGGTTTCACTTTCCTCGGTGTCGGTTACCCGAAGTCAACCTCGGTTCAAGATTATTATGCGCAATGGGCTATTTTGAAAGATACCCACAGGCACGTAACTCTTATTACAATATATTATTACAATTCTTCTACTTTGTTATTAGTTATTGTTGAAACTTTATCATAGATGTGTGTGTATAGGAAAACTTTGTATATAGAGGGTTCATTACTATTTGCAGTTTCAGACATCCACTAATGGT